TGCCCTGTACACCCCTCCTGCACCCCCGCCCTGAGCCCCCTCGTACACCCCGCACCCCTCCTCTGCCCCAATCCCTTGCCCTGAGCCCCTTCCTGCACACCGCACCCCCTCCCACACCCCGCACTCCCTCTCGCACCCCAACCCCCTGCCCTGCATACAATTTCCCCACCCAGATGTGGCCCTCGGCCCAAAAGGTTTGCCCACCCCTGGCCTAGTGGATCTCAGACAATACTCTCTCCCCGCTAAACAGTAATTGTGTATTGCTGGCCCATACCCTAAGGGATATGGCTTCCCTGCCCCATGCAGTACTCCGGTATCATGCACTCATACTGCAGGGAGAGACCTAGAGCAAACGAATACTCAGGCACCACTGGACTATACTCCAGGGGGGCGTTATCCTCCAGCACGCAGTAAGTGGCCACCACTGGTGCGTAGTCGGGGGCTGTGCCCACAGTGTGAGGTACCCCAGACTGCTATTGTTGCTCACAGTACTTGGGTACCAATGGAGTATAGTCCAGAGTTGGTCTCTACAGCCAGATGGAATCGCTCAAGTACTCCGGCAGCATCAGCCAATCCTCGGCTTGCCAAAGAGCGCCTGGGTATTACGGGATGAGTCCCTGCCCCCTCCAGTACTCGGGTACCGTTCTGTCACGTGGCCAACAGGGAGGCGCCTACCTCTGCCCAGCAGCCAGCGATGGTAGAACCAGGCGCTCTGGTCGTTGGGGTCGGTGAAGAAAGCGTTTTGCACCAGCTCCAGCTCTGGCAGGGCAAGAGAAGAAAGCAAGGTGGGGGACGAGGCACGGGGCCTTTCTCCTCTAGGGGGCGCCGGCCCCAATCTGGGCCCAGGGCAGGGACTGGCTGGCTCAGGGGGGCAGGGAATGGGACACAGGGCCTGTCCTCTCTAGAGGGTGCTGGCCCCGATCCAGCCCCAGGACGCTCTCCTGGCCCTCCCCATGAGCGGTCTGAGGCACAGTCGCCCCAGGGCAGGTTCCCAGGTGCCATCCCTGTCTCTGAAGCCGGCGGCACTCGGCTGGGGAACTCGTGCCAAGGCCACAGGGAGCTGGGCGAGGCCGGTGCCTCCTCTGGCCTGCAGAACCCGTCAGCAACGTCCCAACTGGGTCAAGCTTCCAGGAATGGCGTCTCTGCCAAGTTCAGGGCGGGGCAGAGGCTCAGGGATCTCTCCAAGCAGGTGGGGGCCTTTGCCAGGAATGACTCCACCCATGGGCCGGGCCACTGGCTGGCAAGGAACCCAGGAGTCCTGGCTCCCAGCCTGCTCACTCTACCCACTAGCGCCACTTCCAGAGCCAGGAGAGAACCCAGGAGTCCTGGCTCCCAGCCCCCAACCACTAGACTCCCCTCCCCGAGCTGAGAGAGAACCCAGGAGTCCTGGCTCCCAGCCCCCTCACTCTAGTCATCAGCCCTCCCCGAGCTGGGAGAGAACCCAGGTGTCCTGGCTCCCAGCCCTCGCCCGGCGCCCTGACCTTTGAGCAGCACGGCCTCGGTGGGGCGGCCCGGCTGCCGGGGGTCGGGGTGCAGCCGGGGCAGCAGGCGGCTGCGGTAGTGCCAGGACGAGTAGTTGGAGAAGTTGCGGGTGATGAGGCGGTCGGTGAAGTGCAGCTCGTCTGCGGCCGACACCTGGGCGCGCTGCACCACGAAGCGCCGGTAATCCCAGCAGTGAACTGCGGGAGCGCCAGAGAGCGGGGGGGGGTCAGAGACCGAATCCCTGCTGCCCCCAGCCCCACTGCCCATGGCCCCGCGCCACCCGAGCACCTGTGGGTGTGAGCTGGGGGAATGCCAGGGCTTGGGGGTCACAGGTGGGGCTAGAGGTCAGAAATCAGGGCAGCGGGATTCTGGGGGTTCAGGGTGGATCCAGGATTAGCGGTAAAGGCAACAGGGTTTTGGGATTGATCTGGGGTCAGAGGGTATGTGGGTGGATCTGGGATCAGAGGTCAGGGAAGGCAGAGTTTGGGGGTGGATCCAGGGTTAGAGGTCAGGACAGTGAGGTTCAGAGGTGGATCTGGGGTCAGAGGCCAGGGTGGTGGGGTTCGGGGTGGATCTGGGGTCAGAGATCTGGGGGTTTTCAGGGGTGGATCTGGGATCAAAGGCTGGAGTGGATCGGGGGTCAGGGCAGTCGGGTTTGGGGTTGATCTGGGGTCGGGACAGTAGGGTGGATCTGGGGTCAGGGCAGGGGTGGTCCGGCAATAGATCTGGGGTCAGAGGTCAGGGGTTCAGGAGGATTTGGAGTCAGAGATCTGGGTTTTTTTGGGAGGATCTGGGCTCAGAGGTGGGAGATGGACCCAGGGTCAGAGGTATGACAGTTTCAGGGTGGACCTGGGGTCAGAAGTCAGGAGTTTAGGGGTGGACCTGGGGTCAGAGGTTGGGGGAATCCGGGATGGATCTGGGGTCAGATGTCGGGGGTATCCAGGGTCAGAGGTCAGGGTTTTTTGGGGGGAGGGGCGATTGGGGGTGAGGGGATTTGGTGGGGATCCGGGGTTGGGGGTCTTGCGGGTCTGGGACCCAGCTCACAGTTGCGTTCGTCGATCTCCAGGAACTTGGCACACAGCTCCAGCTCGCGGGCCCAGTCGGGGTGGGGGACGTGCTCCATCACCCAGCAGCGGTGGTGCCACGTCCCGTACGATTTGGGGTTCACCCGCAGGCAGGACTCCAGGAACGAGAGCTCCCCGCGGCACAGCAACTGCATCTCTTCCGGGGACCTGTCACGGGGGATGGGTCAGAGCCAGGGACTCCCCTGGGGACCTGCCACTCAGGGGGGTCAGAGCCGAGGAGCCCCCCAACCCCAACCCAACACCCCTGGGGACCTGCCACTGGGGGGTCAGAGCTAGTGACCCCACCAAACCACAGTCAATCCCATATTGACCCCAAGACTCCCCCTCTTCCAGGTTCCCTGAGACCCCCCCAAACTACCCCCCTTCTCCCCCTCACCTAACCTCCCCCCTCACCTCCAGGCCCCCGCTCTACCACTCATCCTCTATACCCCCCTTCCCCACGCCCCCCATCCCTCCCCCTCCATCCCTTCCTTCCCTGCCCCTCTGGCCCTCTCCCCCTAGACTTCCCTCCCCCGCCCCTCCAGAACCCCCTCACCCCTCCGGCTCCAGGCGGAGGAGGATCTCCCGGCGGAAGTTCCAGAGGGTGGCGAAATCGGGGTTGACCCCCAAGATCTGATTGGTCAGCTCCAGCGCCTCTTTGTCCAGCTGTCCTGTCTTCCTCTGGGGAGGGGAAAGGTCAGAGGGTCAAAGGTCATGCCACAACCCTCACCTGGAGCCACCCTATCTCACCCAAAGGATAAAGAGGTCAGGGGTCACCATTCACATCAATGTCCCTCCCACAGTGGGGTGAAACATCAGAGGTCAGGGGTCAAAGGGCAACTATTCTACCCGCCCAGGCCAACATTTGACCAACAGGCAGTGGTCAAAGGTCACCTGACCACATCTGCTTCTGATCAAGGGTCAAAGGCCATGAGCCAAAGGGCATAACGTGTCATGACCACTCACGAGCCAGAAGAAAGTCAAGGGTTAACGTTGACCTAATTCTTCAACCTCAGCTATCTCCAGTCACCCAATGGGAATACAGCAGGGTCAAAGGTCATCCTAGATACAGGTCAAAGGCCACCGAACATCCAACTGCTTCTGGCCCAGAGGGGAATGGTCAGGGGCCAAGGGTCACACACTCATCCAACCATCTCCAACTGAGGGGAGAGGTCAGAGATCAAAGGTTGCACCTTAACTACTCATGACTCAGAGGGGAAGAGTTCTGGGGTGACAAACAACATCAGTGGGCCAACGTCAAAGGTCAGAGTTATCTTCCTCTCTGGTTTGGGGGGAGTCAGGTCAAAGGTCATTCTGACCAGGAGGGATCCAGGCTAAGGGGGCACCCATTGGAAGAAAGGTCAAGGTTCAAAGGTCAGCATGCCCCCAATAGCCCATGATGGGGAAGGCCAGGTTTCAAAGATCACTGTGCAGCCAATCCACACAAGGCGTAGTGTAAAGTCAGGGGTCAAAGGTTACAGC